TGCCATTATGGATGAAATGCATGAAAGAACTTACAAATCATTATTATTTCTGGAATGATTGCTTGAGTGTTTATAAGGTAAAAAGTAATACTAACAATTAGTAAAGGTTGTAAAAAACCCCGGTATGTGTTAAAGGAAAAGAGAAGTATAGTATAAGTATAGTATAAAACACGTCTAGCACATCTCAATGTCTCCCCATTTTCAGATGCGTCAGATGCATCTTGTCACCACATACCAAATTCCCTCAGACACGCTCCCCGTGCACTGGACATTCAACTGCACTTTGGACTGTTCGCCTTGACTAGTAATTACAAACACAAAATTGTAAACTCTGTCTGGCTTCAATGATGCGGAGGCTGTGCTGTGATGTATGATGACTATTTCACACACCCAAACCCATCCGCTATTAATCAGAAAGGTTAATTTTTATATCCCTACCACCGACTCTTTACCGTGAGTCTGCGGGTATATGTCTATGAATCACTACAACTAACCAACCAAACAACCACAACCATACAACCACAACTGACCAAACATTTAACCAATCAAACATCTAACCAACCAACCAACTCAACAGGTTTGCTGTGTCAGTCAAAATGTATGTCTGCTCCTCTGACTTCTTGTCTCCTAGATGCTTGATGATGAGGTGTTGGAACTGAAGTTTCTTCTCCTTTGTGTGTGTGTGTGGTTGGACGGTTATGTTTTCCACTCATGCTCCCTCTTTGACTGTCAGACATGTCACAGAACAGGATGTACTGCAGCTGTCTGAGCTAACAGGAAGTGGAGGAGTGTTGGTCTGTGTTTTAGTTGCAGTGTCCAGTCCTGCTGTCCCCACTCTTTCCTCACTGAGCTTACAGAGCTGAGACCTATTAGTTGATAACTGTGGGTGTTTTTGAATGACAGGATTGTTGTCAGTAGAGGAGAGGACAGATGTTTTAACTTTCAACCTTCATTCTTAGAATGATGAACATCATGCAGTTCAACTCCCTGCTATGACTCAAAGTCACACATTCAACAAGTCACACTTTCTGTGCAGCACAGTCATAGATGTAGTTCTGTTGCCACAGAGCTTTCCTCAGATGATCAATGAGGATTGTATAATGATAATGCTATTGTAATATTATTAGCTGGTCATCTACCAGCACATTTAAACTCACTTTGTTTTTGAGTTTCTGCTCATTGTCCTCACATCGATGGGGTTTGGTTGCTTTCAGACAAAACCAGGATTGATGTTCCCTTTGTTTTCAGGCTTTGTGCTAATCTAAACATCTACTGGCTCCAGCTTCATATTAACTATGAGTGTAAATATAACTATCAATGTTTTCTCAGCAAAAACGTGTGTTTTCTATAATGTTACATGTTTTCATGTAAGCAACTGATACCTTCAAATAAATACTGAGCATATTTACAGCTCCTCCACAGTAGGAATCAGAAATATTTTTTCAGCAGGCAGAGCAAAACCCCCTTTTTTTTCTGGTCATCATGCAGTCATGCCCATTTAGTACACTACTATGTGTAGAAAAATGTCTGAGGGAGACCCCCTCGGCTCCATTTAACAACAATCAGTGACATTGTGCTATTGTATAGGAACAACACATATAAAACCCTGTGCAATCCAACCTCGGAAAAGTGTGTTTCATACCCTCACAAAGAATGGTCACGCTTCCAATGATCCACAGGAATTGGATTTCATGGGTAAGATAAAGAGGAGTGCATTTGGCTGTGAGGCTCCCTCTGAGGCTTAGCACTCCTTGTTAAGGATACATCCAGAGGCAGGGTGTACTTTCAAGTTAAAGAGATGCAGTGAGAAGGTCAGAGTAAGAAGAGATAAGAAAACTGTAGATCTGTTTCATATTTTTTCAGCCTTTGGAAATGAATAAATAAATAAGGAAATGAA